CACACACACACACACACACACGCACACACACACACTGTCACTCACGCACGCAGCTGGTGCTCAACCACTGTCGACGTGCGCAGCTCGTACGTGAGAGGCACAGTGAAAAGGGAGCTGCAAGAACAAATTGTAAGGGTGGTAGAAACAGAAGAACCACGACTCCACAGCCCAATAACTAACATAGCAGACCTAGAACTGGATCCAGCTGAATGGGCATGGAAGATGAGAACAGGAAGACTCAGAATAGAGAAACGTACTAGCATTCTAGAATACACTACCAAGCTAGGATACACACTAAGGATGAGATTGTACCCTATAGCTCAAATCATTAGCCAATGATGGGAAACGCAACTCAATCAACCCCCAAACCTCACCCTCATCATGTCATGGTCACCCCCGTCAAAATAAGAAGCTTCCAATGGCAACTCGCCCACTCAGCCCTGCCAGTTAGTACATGGCTGAACAAGAGACGCAGTGCACGTCATGATCTCCCTTGCAAGAACTATGTGCAATTTGTCAGGAGGGCCGGGTAGACGACGTAGATCACTGCCTATTGCGCTGTCAAAAAGAAAAGCAGCTTTTGGCTAACACGACTGAGCTATGGCACTCCATAACTGACAAACCCTTCCCAACAGATCAGATCCCCCTCCCACTAGGACTGCACATGCTCCCCACATCACTGGGGACATTATGGATGATATGGAAACACAGATGCCGAGATACAATAGATCACACCCCAATGACGGCTCAAGAGGCCTGGGAGGGAGTTCTGTAACTAATAGAAGCAGAATACAGAGGACGCTAGAAGAGGATTCACAGGAAAATAGAGGAGAGTAAAGAGAATAGGGAGAAAACCATAGAGGCGTTCAATTAACGGCAACTAGACGGAGGCCGCCCTGCCACAAATGATAGAAGTAGAATAGAGCGGATGCTAGAAGAGGATTCGCAGGAAAATAGAGGAGAATATAGAGAATAGGGAGAAAACCAGAGAGGCGTTCAAAAAACCGCAACTGGATGAAGGGAAAATCCGAAATCGCAACAATCGTCCAGGACATAATCCACTTCGACCAATGGAGACATAGCAGATTAGCTCTGCCCCAAATTACCGAGATGCCTAGAAGTAGGACCCACCTCACAGGTATGTCTATAGGCTCAAGATAAGGAACCCACATACCTATTTAGGTAACAAAAGGAGGAAGTAGGAGAGCAAAAGAGGCTCCCTTAATGTAAGCAGTAGTCTGAGAGTAGGGGACACAAGTAGAAAAAGAGTAGGGCACATTTTTAGCAAAGGGAGCAACCAAGTTACAAGCCTATGGGTTAGGCCTCCCAGGGTTTAGGGTTTACGCAGATGCTACCAAGAGACGTTACAGTCCAAGCTCAGTTGGGGTTTAAGGATAGAAGCACGGAGTGCTGAATGGCAGGAAGAAGCTTCAGAATACCGGGCACAGCTAGAAGGGATGAGAGGCACACCCCCATCTAGGGAGCAATCTAGAGATCGAGTCACTAGGATAAGGTGAAGACTGCTTAGGGTTTAGGGTTTTAGCTGACTATGCCAACTGCATACTTCGAAAGATGTTGTGGCCAAGGAAAGGTACTCCTTTCGACACATGGGTAATATGGGTTTCGTCCATACTCCGTGTTAATTGGAGTTTGTCTCTAAGGAACGATTCCAATTCAGATCTCAGTTTCACTGCTTCGGATCGTGGACCAGAGATTGCTACTAGAAAATCATCTGCGAACATATATAATTTGTGCAAGTGTGCCGCTTCGACGGTGGACAGGTGTGTGGGCACTTGGCGCTTAAACCACCACTCCCCCCAGACCTATTTTGACAAACCAAAAGTTGCATTTCCCCGAGCCTTAAATCCACAATACAGTGAATACACCGACAGACCAAGCTCAGTTGGTACACCCATCAACTGTTGAAATATAGACCCAAATTCAAATCCAGATACAATCAGATGACCAGAATAACGATGATATCTCAAGGCCGTCGCCCTTTTAAAAGAAAGGTAAAAAAAAAAAATCCACAATACCGCCATGAGGAAGAATAATTGTGGTATACCCTTCCCCACTAAACCTCTACCGGGCCTGGGCACTGTAGAGTTTGGCCCGGTACTTGTAGACAAGGAAAATGGACAGTGCAGGGACTAACACAAACGTGGCCAACCTCGCATCTTCTACTATATTGCCTATACAATATCTATACCTTATTTTGTTTCATGGATGGTTTGTGATGATTTGTGGATGAAATGAGAGAGAGAGTTTGTGGTCTTTTGAAAAACACATGCACAGGCTCACTCTGTCTGTCTGTCTGTCTGTCTGTCTGTCTGTCTCTCTCTCTCTCTCTCACACACACACACACACACACACACACACAGAGAGACACACAGACACACACACACACACACACACACACACACACACACACACACACACACACACACACACACWCTCTCTGTGTGTGTGTGTGTGTGTGTGTGTGTGTGTGTGTGTGTGTGTGTGTGTGTGTGTGTGTGTGTGTGTGTGTGTGTGTGTCTTGTGTCTGTGAAAGCATCCTGTGAACGACAGAAAACCTTAGAGAACAGCTATGTGGGAGGGACACGCTCAGGTGGATGTTGCTGATCCCTGGCGATGCTGATCGCCATACCCTGTTCACCTTTTCTTTCTCCTCATGTGTTTTACTCAGGCTTGCTTTCCCCATCATTTGCTTTACTCTGGCTCGGTTTTCCTCATTTGTTTTAATCTGGCTTGTTTTCTCTAATAGTAATAGCTTAGCAGGTTGACTGCATGGTAGCAGCTCCGCTACGTTTGTAGCTCGTTGACATCTGCTGAAAAAAAGAGCTCAGGAGGAACACTACACGCATGTGACTGAATGGTACACATCTGCACCTATCTATAAGAGGCCTCGTGGCTGTCGGGATTGATGCTGCGAAGAGTGCGGCCTCTGATCTGATAAACCCAGCTCGGTTATTGGCCAATGCATGTAGTTGAATGCTATACAACAGATGTTATGTAACTGTCATTAGTAAATACTAAACCGAACATACTGCACTGGGGTAACTTTGAGTTGTGATGAAATCATTAGTTACTTTTTATTTATTTATTTTTAATCATTAGTTACTATATCCTTCAAGTTGGTAATGTTTTTTGCACTCAACCTGTGTGTGTGTACTTGATTCTACTCGCGTCTTGGACTTTTGTTGCGGCGGTCAGTCAGTGGGCAGTGTGTGTGGTCTTTATCACTCTTTGTTATCTGTGGTCTTGATCGACACAGCAACTCGTTCACAACATCCTTCACAAAGACAGAAGGTCCGGTCTTGAAGACAACGATGATGATGATGGCGAGAAGATGGCTAGCAGCCATGGTGGCTTCACTGCTCGTAGTCCCATGTTATCTGTGATCTTCGTCAACATGAGAACAAGCTGGCAACATCATTCACAACGGAAGGAGGTTGGACTCAGAAGGCAAGGATGACGATGGTGACGTGAAGATGGCTAGCAGCCATGGCGGCTCCACTGTTGGTAGTCCCATGATTGCCTTGAAGTTCTGTCGGTACGTGTCATCGTATGTGGAGCAGCCATCATTGCTGTCCTCAAGACGAAGGCTTAGCTCTTTTATCTGCAACCCAATCCCGATCGTAGTGCTGATGCTACTCACAGCGGCGGTCGTCCCACCCGTGCGAACACACCCTTCCTTGGCCACCACCTCCCCCCCTTCCTTTCACCACCGTGTGGACAATCACTCGACGAGCCTAATGGCCACTCCCTTCCCCGCTTCTCCCACGACTATCGACCATTTGTTGAGGACGATGCCAATGACCAGTATTGCAAACACCATGCCCCGCAGGACTGTCGAGTACTCCTTGACGACAACAATGACTAGCCGAACAACCCCCCCCACCCCCACCACCACCTCCTTCTGCTCCTCCTCCTCCTCCTCCAACTCCTCCAACTCCAACTCCTTCTCCAACTCCTCCTCCAACTCCTCCAACTCCAACTCCTTCTCCAACTCCTCCAACTCCTCCTATTTCCTGCCAGACATCAACAGCGAAAGAGAGCAAGGTGGGAACTCGGGAAGGGACATGTCGCCTACGGTCATGTCACCTAGATCCGGACTCCTCAAAGCAACTCCGCTGGTGGCCAGCTCATCTCATGAAAGCATGTCCTGGTCAAGATCAGGATATGCCAGACGGACAGGCAGTTTGGCGACCTCCATACCTCCGGCTCGGGGGGGTCCCAAGGGAAGCGCCGGGTTCCATATCAGAGGCAGCGCACTGCAGAGCACCAGTCCCAACAGCCACGGGCCTCTCATCAGCGGACCCACATCGTCCGGAAGAGAGGCTCCAGCAGCCAACAGGTGCAGCAGTCAATCGCCAACTGCCGCAGAGCGCAGGCTTCTGCAAGAGGGAGAAGGCGCCTCATTACCCTCAGACTCTGCCAACGGGACTGATAACACGACACCTAGTTCAAGATCCCCGCCGGATGACCCAACCACAGTGTCAAAATTGCCTCCCGAAGAGACACAGGTCACTCCTCCCGGGGTCCGTGAATCCACGCCAACGACCAGCCAGAGCAACGGGCTGCCCCCAGATGGTGGCTCTCCTGCATCCTCCCCACGAACCCCCCCTCTCCCTGCCCCTCCTCCTCCCGAGGCCCCTAAGTCACTGGCTCCCTTTGCTATCTACCCTCCTGACCCCCCTACGGCTCCTACTAATTGGTCCTCCGCAGGACCTGCGGCCGAGCCCAACGTCACTCAAGGGCCAGCCGCCCCTCCCCCTCCAGTTCCCTCCGCCTTGCACCACGGGCCGAAGAAGACCCCGCCCCTCATCGAGGACAACGAGAAAGTCGGTCTTGAAAGCGACTGGTCAAACGTGTTCTTCATCATCTACCTTGTGTTCCTTGGGGGCATGGGCATGGTGCTTTGCCCCCTCACTCTATTCTACTGGTGGCGCGTAAAGATCACTTGCGATCGAGTGCGTGCAACCAGCAACAAGCTACTCTTTGTGGCCATGAAAACCATTGATGATGACATGTATGGGTCAGATCCTCACAACCCGACAGACACTCGATCACAACCGCAGACTACTGCAACTAACCGTAACGGTGCTCAGGCACACTCACCAGGAGGAGGAGGAGGAGGTAAAGGAGGAGCAGACATTGAGGCAACGGTTCCTGGGGAAGGGAAGAAGGTTGTGGGAGAAGGGGAGGGAAATTCTGAACAGGGTAAGATGGATGCCGGGACGTCGAAAAGTGAGGCTGCTTTGGGAAGGAGTGAAGAATCATCACCCTCTCAGGGACGTGATCAACATGGTAGAAGTACACAGGGTGAGCAAACACCTGCCATCAGGAGGGATGCAGGCGCAAGTTCATCAGCAGGCATGCGGACTCGGGAGAGTGGAGGGGGGATGGAGACCACAGAAAAATCTGCGATGAGCATCAGAGTCGGTTTTGCAGTGCGGGAAGGGGATGAGATCAAGAAGTCGGTGTTTGTCATTCCTGGACGTGATGAGCCTCCACCTGTCGAGGTCACCATGCACGACCTTGCACTCTTTTCGTGTAAGTCTCTCTCTCTCTCTCTCTCTCTCTCCCTCTCTCTCTCTCTCTCTCTCTCTCTCTCTCTCTCTCTCTCTCTCTCTCTCTCT